AAAAAAGTTTTTTTTTTTTTTTTTTTTTTTTTGTGGCTGGCTGGTAGGGGGATCTGAAACCTTGACCTTGGTGTTATAGCACTGTGCTGTAACCAACTGAGATAATTGGCCAGTCTGGATTTCTTTTTTTTTTTTTTCTGTTGTTTTACTTCATTATAAGCATATTATTATTACAAATTGTGATTTTTCTTTATGCCCTTTACCCAACTTATCCCTCCCCAACTCACCCTTCCACCTTCACCCTACCTCAAGTATCCTTAGGTTTGTTTTCCCCTTCTGAAAGTTCAACATATTGTCTTGGTCTTTTCTTTCTTTCTTAGCACATATGTGAGAACATGAGGTATTTCTCTTTACTTGTATGGCTTATTTCATTTAACATACTTTTCTCCTGACTCATCCATGTTGCTGGAAATGGCAGAATTTCATTCTTTTTTATGGCTGAGTAGTATTCCATTGTGTATATATATTGATTTCTTCGTATCTAAATTTTAGGTTGTTAGGACAATGCCTCCAAGCCTTAGTCCTGCCTGAGTATATTTTCTCTTCCCATTCTTTGAAGAACTTAATCATATAGCTATGAAAAGGTGATCTGTGCCCCAGTGCTGGTGTTTTTCAAACACCATTGGCTATGACAAGCCTTGATGTAAACACTGGTTGCTGTAGCTAACCACAGTTAAATTTTTACCTTTGTCATTAAAAGCGCTCCAGGGATAGATATGTATCAGTGCAAATGGTAGGCAAGAAGAAACAGGGAAGGTAAATCAGGAAATCTTTTGTGGGAATAGGAATTGCTTGAGAAATGAGAAATTTTTGAGACTTGGGGCAATGACATAGAGCATATGCGAGCAAACTTGTGGCTGTTCTGTGTTTTAATCCTAAGAGAATTCTTCAGATAGCTTTAGGGAATCTAAAAATGAGTTTTCATAGTATAGTTATGGAACTAATCCTACAGAGATGCACTCTTTTTCCCAAGAAACCATGAGTATGATACTTGTGTCTGGATTGCCAGCACGTTTAGCTTAAGAATCTATGATGATGGTTAGATATGTGTATTTGGCATAAATACATCATTTTAGATAGTAGCCTCTATATCTCTGCTTACCAAACTATGGGATGCACAGTTAACAGTTCCAAACGCAGATAGAAAGCAGGGTTTATGGCAGTGGTTCTGGATGTCTACTTACCAAATAGAATGAGAAAACTCCTCTTGGCCACTTTTATTTTCAGAATTCACTTTCAAGGCAGTGTGTTTATATCTGCCAAAGTCTTTTACATGTTAGGGATTAAATATCTTCATCTTAGAAAACTGAAAGTTTAGGGCTGGCCAGTTTGCTCAGTTGGTTGAAGCACAGCCCTATAACACCAAGGTCAAAAGTTCAGATCCCTGTAGTGGCCAGCCACCAAAAAAAAAAAAAAAAAAAAAGGGAAAAAAAAAATTGGAAATTTAGTTACTTTTTGTTCTAGAGAAATTTCAACATAAACTGGCAGATTACTTGGAACCTGATTCCTTCTATCATCTGTGGATGACATAGTAGGTTTTTGTTTGAAAAAAGTGTGGAATTTAGTTTCTGATGAGGGACAGAAAGAATATCACTGTGTATATTTAAGGATTATTATTTATCTAAAGTTTTAAATTTGCTTGATTGTTTTATGATCTTTTACTTTGCTCTTTAGATTCTCCTGGGCTCCTCCAATTTGAAGTGTGTCCCCTCTCAGAGTCCCGTTTCAGCGTATCTTTTCAGCACCCTGTGAATGACTCCCTTGTGTGTGGTGAGTTGTGTGGGTGGCTGACACCTCTCTCAGGGATGCAGTTTGGTCCCTGTATCTTTTTTGGATGGAAAGTCAGAAGCTGACTCTATTCCAATACCTCCTGTATATTTTTGTCTTTCAGTGGTAATGGATGTGCAGGACTCAACACACGTGAGCTGTAAGCTCTACAAGGGGCTGTCAGATGCACTCATCTGCACAGATGACTTCATTGCCAAAGTTGTTCAAAGGTAGCACTGGCCCTTTTCCATCAAGGTCTCCTTAAGAGATGTATAAAGAATGTTTTCTTTAGTATTATAGTGAATTGGCAATAAAGGAGAAAAGCATTTAGTCATTGCTTTGAATACACCCTTCTCTGCTTTTGGATTCAAGTGATCTGAGTTTTGTTTTTTTACATATCGCTGTAAGAGTAATAGGAAGTAAGGTAGGTAACTTCAAGCCTGGCATTAGGGTACTTTAAGGTAGGAGAGAGCTGAAATAAGATGCAGATTTTTTTTTCACCTATCTTCTTTGCCACTTTTTAAGAGATGTAATGTGTTAAATGGCAATGTGTGGGAAGACACTTAAGCCAGTCAGCTTCTCAGAAACATTAATATGTAATTTTGAGATTTTTCACAATAGTGGCTGGCAGCCTATTTTTGCAAATAAATTTTATTGGAATACTGCCATTCATTTACATGTCTATGGCAGCTTTTAAGCTAAGATGCAGAGTAGTTGGGCAGAAATCATATGACCTACAAACTAACATATTACTCTGTGGCCCTATAAGAAAAAGTTTGCTGCCATATGTTCTACAGCAAAATGTTTTCAAATATATGCTTATAAATATAAATTCATCTGGAAGATAAAAAAAGTGCTTTGTTTTTAAACAAATAAGATTTCATACCAGCAGTAGCTCTTTTTTCTTTTAAAAGATGACCAGTAAGGGGATCTTAACCCTTGACTTGGTGTTGTCAGCACCATGCTCTCCCAGGTGAGCTAACTGGCCATCCCTATATAGGGATCTAAACCCATGGCCTTGGTGTTATCAGTACCACACTCTCCCAGGTGAGCCATGGGCCGGCCCTCAGCAGTAGCTCTTTTCACAACAATGTAGCTTTGGGATGATCTAAGCCATTAAGGTATCTTTTTTTTTTTTTTTTTGCTGCTGGCCTGTAAAGGGATCTGAACCCATGCCCATGACCTTGGTGTTATAAGGCTGTGCTTAACCAATTGAACTAACCAGCCAGCCCTAATCCATTAAAGTTTAAAACTTGGGTTGAGAGATTTTTCTAATGGTTCATTAGTTAAAAGAAATTATATATACCATTAATTACTATGTGAAGCCCCAGAGGAAATGTATTTTCTTTCTAAGTTCCATTGTTACCAGTTTTCTTTTAGTTCAATATGAAATCTAATTATTTTGACTCCTGTTTGTGGTTTGTTTTTGGTTGTGGTTCATAAGAGGTTGATTGACTACTGGGTCAGATGCTTTTTAGAATGAATTTACTGAAAGCTCTGGCATTTGATAGAACTACTCTTGCCTTATAGGTTACTTGCCTTACCTGAAAACTGCTTACTGCAAACGTCTGATGGCTTATCTAAGTCTCAGGCAAAATCAGAGCTTGTTTTCCCAAATGAAAAATTGGTTTCATTCAGCAGCAAGTACAATATTAACTTTGTTTTTTCCATTTTACCTTGTAGATGTATGTCCATCCCTGTGACCATGAGGGCTATTCGGAGGAAAGCTGAAACCATTCAGGCCGACACTCCAGCACTGTCCCTCATTGCAGAGACAGTTGAAGATATGGTGAAAAAGAACCTGCCCCCGGCTAGCAGCCCAGGGTATGGCATGACCACAGGCAACAACCCAATGAGTGGTACCACTACACCAACCAACACCTTTCCGGGGGGTCCCATTACCACCTTGTTTAATATGAGCATGAGCATCAAAGATCGGCATGAGTCGGTGGGCCATGGGGAGGACTTCAGCAAGGTGTCTCAGAACCCAATTCTTACCAGTTTGTTGCAAATCACAGGGAACGGGGGGTCTACCATTGGCTCGAGTCCGACCCCTCCTCATCACACGCCGCCACCTGTCTCTTCGATGGCCGGCAACACCAAGAACCACCCGATGCTCATGAACCTTCTTAAAGATAATCCTGCCCAGGATTTCTCAACCCTTTATGGAAGCAGCCCTTTAGAAAGGCAGAACTCCTCTTCTGGCTCACCCCGGATGGAAATGTGCTCGGGGAGCAACAAAACCAAGAAGAAGAAGTCATCAAGATTACCACCTGACAAACCCAAGCATCAGACTGAAGATGACTTTCAGAGGGAGCTATTTTCAATGGATGTTGACTCACAGAACCCTATCTTTGATGTCAATATGACAACTGACACGCTGGATACGCCACACATAACTCCAGCTCCAAGCCAGTGTAGCACTCCCCCAACAACTTACCCACAACCAGTACCTCACCCCCAACCCAGTATTCAAAGGATGGTCCGACTATCCAGTTCAGACAGCATTGGCCAAGATGTAACTGATATCCTTTCAGATATTGCAGAAGAAGCCTCTAAGCTTCCCAGCACTAGTGATGATTGCCCACCCATTGGCACCCCTGTTCGAGATTCTTCAAGTTCGGGGCATTCTCAGAGTGCTCTCTTTGACTCTGATGTCTTTCAGACTAATAATAATGAAAATCCATACACTGATCCAGCTGACCTTATTGCAGATGCTACTGGAAGCCCCAGTAGTGACTCTCCTACCAATCATTTTTTTCCTGATGGGGTAGATTTCAATCCTGATTTATTGAACAGCCAGAGCCAAAGTGGTTTTGGAGAAGAATATTTTGATGAAAGCAGCCAAAGTGGAGATAATGATGATTTCAAAGGATTTGCATCTCAGGCACTAAATACTTTGGGGGTGCCGATGCTTGGAGGTGATAATGGGGAGACAAAGTTTAAAGGCAATAATCAAGCTGACACAGTTGATTTCAGTATTATATCAGTAACTGGTAAGGCTTTGGGTCCTGCAGATCTTATGGAGCATCACAGTGGTAGTCAGAGTCCTTTACTGACCACTGGGGACTTAGGGAAAGAAAAGAATCAAAAGAGGGTAAAGGAAGGCAATGGCAGCGCTAATAGTAGTCTGTCAGGCACAGGATTAGACAGCAAACCAGGGAAGCGCAGTCGGACCCCTTCTAATGATGGGAAAAGCAAAGAGAAGCCTCCAAAGCGGAAGAAGACAGACACTGAGGGAAAGTCTCCATCTCACAGTTCTTCTAACCGTCCTTTTACCCCACCTACCAGTACAGGTGGATCCAAATCTCCAGGCAGTTCAGGAAGATCTCAGACTCCTCCAGGTGTTGCCACACCACCCATTCCCAAAATCACTATTCAGATTCCTAAGGGAACAGTGATGGTGGGCAAGCCCTCCTCTCACAGTCAGTATACTAGTAGTGGTTCTGTGTCTTCCTCAGGTGGCAAAAGCCATCATAGCCATTCTTCCTCTTCCTCGTCTTCTGCTTCCACCTCAGGCAAGATGAAAAGCAGTAAATCAGAAGGCTCATCAAGTTCCAAGATAAGTAGCAGTATGTATTCTAGCCAAGGGTCTTCTGGATCTAGCCAGTCTAAAAATTCATCTCAGTCTGGGGGGAAGCCGGGCTCCTCTCCCATTACCAAGCATGGACTAAGTAGCAGCTCTAGCAGCACCAAGATGAAACCTCAAGGGAAGCCATCATCACTTATGAATCCTTCTTTAAGTAAACCAAACATATCTCCTTCTCATTCAAGGCCACCCGGAGGCACTGAAAAGCTTGCCTCTCCAATGAAGCCTATTCCTGGGACTCCCCCATCCTCTAAAGCCAAGTCCCCTATCAGTTCAGGTTCTGGTGTTTCTCATATGTCTGGAACTAGTTCAGGCTCTGGCATGAAGTCATCTTCAGGGTTAGGATCTTCAGGCTCCTTGTCCCAGAAAACTCCCCCATCATCTAATTCTTGTACAGCATCTTCCTCCTCCTTTTCCTCAAGTGGCTCTTCCATGTCATCCTCTCAGAACCAACATGGGAGTTCCAAAGGGAAATCTCCCAGCAGAAATAAGAAGCCATCCTTGACAGCTGTCATAGATAAACTGAAGCATGGAGTTGTCACCAGTGGCCCTGGGGGTGAAGACCCAATGGATGGCCAGATGGGGGTTAGCACAAACTCTTCTAGCCATCCCATGTCCTCCAAACATAACATGTCAGGAGGAGAGTTCCAGGGTAAGCGTGAGAAAAGTGATAAAGATAAATCAAAGGTTTCCACCTCGGGGGGCTCAGTAGATTCTTCTAAGAAGACTTCAGAGTCGAAAAATGTGGGCAGCACGGGTGTGGCAAAAATTATCATCAGCAAGCATGATGGAGGCTCCCCCAGCATAAAAGCCAAAGTGACTTTGCAGAAACCTGGGGAAAGTAGTGGAGAAGGGCTCAGGCCTCAGATGGCCTCTTCCAAAAGCTATGGCTCTCCACTCATCAGTGGTTCCACTCCAAAGCATGAGCGTGGCTCTCCCAGCCATAGTAAGTCACCAGCATATACCCCCCAGAATCTGGACAGTGAAAGCGAGTCAGGCTCTTCCATAGCAGAGAAATCTTATCAGAACAGTCCCAGCTCAGATGATGGCATTCGACCACTTCCAGAATACAGCACAGAGAAGCATAAGAAGCACAAAAAGGAAAAGAAGAAAGTGAAAGACAAAGATAGGGACCGGGACAAAGACCGAGATAAAAAAAAATCTCATAGTATCAAGCCAGAGAGTTGGTCTAAATCACCCATATCTTCAGATCAGTCCTTGTCTATGACGAGTAACACAATCTTATCTGCAGACAGGCCCTCAAGGCTCAGCCCAGAGTTTATGATTGGGGAGGAAGATGATGATCTTATGGATGTGGCCCTGATTGGCAATTAGGAACCTCATTTTCTAAAACAAACATGGCCGGAGAAAAAAACTAATGATAAGTTTATAGGCAAACCACCACAAGGGGTGAGTCAGATAGGTCTGGTTTGTGTTTAAGAATCCTAAATGGCATGGCTCTGACAGTGAGCTGGTTGAATTTAGAAAGGCATTTCCAGACCCTACTAGAGACCACAGGGTTTGATTCTGATTACCAAGATTTCCTTGTTCCTTTGCCAGTAAGAAAGTTATACTTGTTTAAGAAAGGGAAAGGGATGGGAGGGGTGTAGGGAGAGGAAAGGGTGGGAAAATTTTGTGGGAAATATTCATATATATTTTTTTCTCCCTTTTTCCATTTTTAGGCAACGTTTTAAACTCATTTTAGTGCATGTACTTAAAGGGCTGGGCAGAAAATGAAAAAGCAATACATTCCTTGATGCATCTGCATGAAGGTTGTTCACCTTTGGGTAATTGTCCATTTGAGGCATGGGCAAATGAAGGACTTGGTCATTTTGGACACTTAAGTAATGTTTGGTGTCTGTATCTTAGGATTGGGGGAGGGAAGATTATTTGAGCTATTTATTTGTAATATTTTAACTATTATCTGTTTGTTTTTATACAGTGTTTCTAAATCTATGAGGTTTAGGGTTCAAAATGATGGGAGGTAGAAGAGCAAGGTTTATTTGGTGGTAGGGATGTAGCTTGTGCTAATACTGTAGCATCAAGCCCAAGCAGGTTAGTCAGAGCCCACCTTTGGAGTTAAACAGAAAAACCAAAATGATATTTTTATTTCAGGTGGTTTTTCATAGGGTTCAGACATCATAGGATTATTAGGAGTTACATCCCCATGGAGGTATTAATCTCTTTTTCCTTTAAAAAAAAAAAGCTAGGGTGGCTTTTTGAGATGTAAACATGCTTTCATATGCAGTAAGGTTTAATGTGGGACAGGCTTCCTGACCCAGTGGCATGAAAACCATTACAGAATTAATAATTCTATTTCCACAATGTGCCAAAAGTTCACATCCCAGCATTTTGTTTGCAGGAGAACTGATGCCATTCCTAAGAGGTGGGCTCCTTGTTATTCTTCATCACAAGGAGAAGGAGTCCAGGCTTTAATCACTCCACTGTATGCTCCCTGAGATAGAACAGTAAAAAATTTGCAGCCATAGTTCACTTAAAACAATTTCAAGCTCACTTGAAGTAATGGGGCCTGGAATGCTGGGTGAGCATGAAGATAAAACCTTGCTACTATGTAGCAACACTATTGGACCTTTTGGGAGAAATAGGTGTGCGTCTGGATTCTGGGGGACATCAATAAGAAGCCCTTCTCATAAATATAGAAATCCAGGAGACTGTTTTGAGTGCAACAGAAGTTCTCAGTATTTGGAGGGTCCTCTCAAAACTCTGCGGCCTTACTTTGATTTTGACACCTGCACTGTGCCATTCCTGATGATTCCATTCAGGATCTGTATCAGTGGGATGGGGTACGGTCCCCGGCACAACTCTTCTGGATTTAAAAAAAAAAACAAAAAAACCCAGGTGTTTTCGTGTGTGTGTGTGTGACTTCATCAGATATGGAAGATTTCTATATTCAGCTTTTCTGCAGGTTGGAGTTAGCACAGAGTTGGAAAATCAGCTTTGGCTTTCTTTCCTGACTGTCTTTCATTTCCTCTAGTGTTCTCCCTTTTCTGGTCATCAGCTCTCAACAACTCTACCACTTTTGTGACCCAAAGGTAATAAGAAGTAGGAAACGAAACGTTGCAAAGTGGAGCAAGAAAAGTTATCGGTTACTATATCAGAGTCAAATGTCTTGGGTGACACTAAGGAGGACATGGGCAAGGTGATACCAGAGTGCTTTATCTTGTGATGCTGGTACAGTAGCAGCCTCTCAGACATACAACCAGGTTGGAATTCTCACAAGTTTGTCACCTAGTTTTGAATCCTATGCCATTGGTTTCTGCAAGAAAAAAAAAAGTTACATAGTTTTAAAGTTTGTTTTGGGTGGGGAAAATCATATGGGAAATGTACTGCTTTAGTATCAGGGGCTCAGCTCCCCCAAGCAGAGCCAACAAATACCAAAACGAGTAAACTGGGAAGCTTTTTCTCTCTTTCTGTCTTCATCCCAGATCAAAGAATCCCGAGTTAGGATCTGGATGAAGGATAAGCCCCTGAATTGTCGATGGGCACACCCCACACACTGACCCAGCATCTGAACTTGCTTAACAGGGAGCCGGGGCTAAACTGCTTCACCCTGCCTGAGAACCAGGGAGCACTGCATTTCTCCACAGGGTGGAGGAGAAGAGGCAGAATAAACCAAGCCTGGGACACCTCCCTCCTGTCTAGGTGTACTCATTCTCCTGTTTCAAAAGACTGCAAGGACATGAAGTCAACTACCTATCTTCTGCTGCTGATGTCTTATATATTCTTAGTTTGACCTGATTTCTCTTCTGTCTTTTAGCTTAATGTTAGGGGGTTTTGGTCCAAACCTGCTCTGATGTACATGAAGATTTCAGGTTCAAAGTCAATGTGTCATAAAATAAGTATTTTAGATGGGGGGAAGAAAACAAAGCAGGATATAGTTGCCAAAACCAGGCTTGAGGTTGGTGACTCTTAAGAGGATTTTCCTTCTTCAGGCTTAGGTCTGAAAATTGAGTGAGCAATATCATGAATTCTCAGAAGAAACCCTTTCAGGGAGCCAGTGAGTCACAGTATCCACAGCTGAGTCACCTAAAGCAGATGTCAGTATAGGAAGTAGTCATAGTCCCTGGGCAATCTCATTTCCTTTTTTTCCCCTTTTCTATCTCTTCTCTCCCCACCCCCTCCCCCCAACCCCTCATTTACCATTTATTTCTATCCTTGAGTTAGTTTTTGGAGTGGCAAGAAGTACTTAACACCTCAGAAGCTAGGTTGGGAAGCATGCTCAGCTGTAAGAACTGAGCTTTAAATTTTGAGTTTAAAATGTACATCGGGGCAGTTGGGTGGGTCTTTTCAAAAAAAGAAAATCTTTCAAATTTGATTTTCTGTGCATTTGGCTGTTCTGTACATACTTCGGGGTTTTTCATCTTTTTGAAAGTAGACAAAATCTGTGGGATTTTTTTCCCCCAAAACATTACAAAAGAACCTGTTTACTTATCTGCAAATAAATTTCTTTGATAAAAAGCAATATGCCTATGTGTAATAAATTTTTAACCTGTGAATAATTTTCACATGTTCAGCATTTCAAAAACCCAGTTAATAAAAAAAAAAAAGTTAAAAAGTAAATGTCTTCTCTACTACTAGAAATGGGTCCACTGAAATGGATGATTGATAGACATATGAAACAGTTTTCATTATATTTGATTTACCTGTATATGCCAGGTCTGCAGTTGTTACCAAATTCATCACTAGTTCTTGCTGGGAGAAAACAACTCTTGGATGAGACTGAGAACTAAAAGGCTGTTTTATTCCACCCGCTGAAGTGAAGCAAAAACATTAAAAGTATCTGGGATGGCAAGAGAATGTAACATCTATACTGGGCTTATAGATTTAAGAATGAGTTTTCTTTTTTAAAAAAAAAGATGACCGGTAAAGGGATCTTAACCCTTGACTTGGTGTTGTCAGCACCATGCCCTCCCAAGTGAGCCAACCGGCGATCCCTATATAGGGATCCAAACCGGTGGCCTTGGTGTTATCAGCCCCACACTCTCCCAAGTGAGCCACGGGCTGGCCCAGCATGAGTTTTCTGAAGTTACATTCCCTCTTAAGGAAGTCCTCTCTAGGATAAAAAAAGGAAAGAAAGTTTATAAAGTGCTTTAAGAGTTGGATATACGCTTTCCTGCTAAAATATGCCTCTTAAAGATCTGCAGGGCTTGTTGCTCTTGAGTTCATTTCTTAATCTGATTCACAACAAGCTACTCACAGACTACTAATTAAAAGGGGTGTAAAGACAAATTCTGCTTTGGAAGCATACAATTAGAAGCAGTACTGCTGCTTCCAATCCAGGACTGCTTAATTTTATAAGTTTCCAAAATTTCACGTTTGGGACATGATTCTGTCGACTGTCGCTCTTCGCTTAATCCGTGGAAATTCGGTCATAAATTCCACATTGGGACATTAAAGGCCGGAGTGGTTAAAATATAACAGTATGATGACACAGATCAACTTCTACACAAGGAGCCCAAGAGTCAGATGAAAGTCATAGTTTCCACTGGGCGAATGCCCCCCGCCTACTCGCTCACACACGCTTGTTTCTCCCGCCGAAGTGGCGTCCGGATCAGGTTCCCACCAATCTGCGCTCTGATTGGAGGGCAGGGAGGCACTACAGCCCATTGGGCGCCAGCCGCAGCGGAGGGGCGGGGGAAGCCAAAGGCCCTTCTGCCTCTCCCGCCCCTACTCCCACCAACGCGTGCCCCTCCCCCAGCAGAAGGAATGGTTGCCGCGCTCCAGCACTGCACCCCCTGACCCCAAGGTCGGAGGTGCAGTCTCGCTGCAATCCCAGAGCAGAGCGCGGCGCTCGGCCTGCCTGTCAGCGCAATTAGCTCCTGCCTCCCGAGCCATGCGGCCCCCCAGGCCTCCCTGCGGCATCCCGTAATGCAATCCACCGGGACGGGGGAAGAGGTGGCGGCGGCCGCAGTACTGCTCCAATCTAGAGACATCCACAAAGAGCAGGAAAATGGCTCCAAGCAGGGACCGCCTGCTGCACTTTGGGTTCAAGGCGACAGTGAGTAACAGGGGAAGGGAGTTGGGTGGGAAAGATATGCGGGCCAGCTGAGGCTACTGGGGAAGAAGTGACAAGACTAGGGGATGAGGGAACTAAGCAGGAAGCTCAGGTCCCGTGCGGGTCGGTGCGTGCCTGTTTGCCCACGGAGAGGAAGAAAGGGGGCCATGGGGCAGGAGAGGGGGCTCCGGTGCAGTGTGCATGCCCCGGCTTTCCTCTCCGTCACCCGTCCGCGAGCACGCGCGCAACTCGCGCCCACCCCACAGCCCCCCCTTTACACACACACACACACACACACACACACACAAAATCCATAGGCACTTTCCTGCCTCTCCTTCTCCCGGTGAACTCGCCTGCCTCGGAGGCGGGAGGGGCTGGTGCCGCCGCCGCCACACTCCGGCTGCTCCCGGGCGCCGCGGGTGGGGGAGGGGAGATCTCGCGCCGCCGCCGCGCGCTCCTCCCCCCTCCTCCCCCGCCTTCTCCTCCCTCCGCGTTCCGAGGCCCGGGCGGCTCGGCCCAATGAGGAGCGGCGTTGCTGGCAGGTGGGGAGTGTTTTTGTTTTGGGTTGAAGTTGAGGCTGAGGAGAGAGCCGAGCTAGCGACGAGCAGCCGTTGTGGCCGCCCGCGCCGCGGGAGGTGGTGGAGGCCCTGCTGGAGCCGAGAGGTCTCCTCCGCGTCTGTCGGCCCCGGCTTTGCCCCTCTTCCTCCTCCTCCCCGTCCCGGATCTCCCGGGCCTGCCCTGGGCCCCCAGTGTTTCCACTCCGCACGCCGCAGCGCCCGGCCCGGGCCGCACCCGCCGTCCCCATGAGGAGGGACGTGAACGGAGTGACCAAGAGCAGGTTTGAGGTGTGAGCATGGGGGGCTTGGGCGGCGTTTTCTTACCCGAAGCATTTGCCCCGCACGGGGCCTCCTCCCTTGCGTTCGCCGCCAGCCACCCACCCACCCACCGGTGGCGCTGCCAGACTTCTCTCCCCATTCTCGCGATCCGAAAGCCCAGTGTAGCCCGGCTTCCCTAGTCCTCCCGACTCTTCGCCTTCTCCCACCCTCGGGCCCCGGCGGAAGATTAGCTCCGGCGCCCTAATTCCCCCCTCCCCCCAGGATCACTCAGCTTTCCATTCTTTATACAACCCTTGGCTTGCCTCCTTCCACCCGGTAGAAAAATCATCACGGCTCCGATCGACCAGACCTTCTTTTTTTCTGCCACCTTCCTTGTGAAACGTTTGTTGTCTGCAGAAGGGGGAAATTATGGGCCAGGGGCCGTTTCTCCGAGTTTGAGACCTTGATTAAACTAGGGAAGCAAAAGTGTTAGACTGGATGATAGAGGCGACCACGGGTTTTCGGTGCTGTTTGGTTTGGGTATTGTTCTGATACTTCCTCTTCTTTCCCATTTAGTCTGTACTTTTGTATCTCATTGTTTCTGGGAACTTAGATGTCTACAGTTTTGAGATTGGGACGAAAGTCTGACACTTCAGAAAATCCATTCTGGTCTGTTTGTCTCGGGAATTTTTCGTTTAGTCTGTACTTTTGTATCTCATTGTTTCTGGGAACTTAGATGTCTACAGTTTTGAGATTTGGGACGAAAGTCTGACACTTCAGAAAATCCATTCTGGTCTGTTTGTCTCGGGAATTTTTCCTCCTCTGGCGAAGGAGGTTTGTATTCATGGTATTAAGGAATGGACTGTCTGAAAGTGTCTTTGGAGAATAGTCACAGTGTATGGAAGGAATTCCTTTGGGAAGTGAAGTATTCTAATTACTGATGAATTGCAATAGTATAATAATATACGGGAAGGTTCACTGAGGGTATGAGAGAGAAAGAAACTTATACAACAAGAAGAGTAAATGTTACCTGGCCTTTTCTGGCAGAGAATCAAGCTGCCCTGGGATCGCTCACAGCTCAGTGTACATCTCACTGGGTGTTTTTTTTTTTTTTATCTCCATTTGAAAGATGCAGTTGTTAAGACAGTGGTGAGTCAGTGTCAGGAAACTCACCAGCTACGTGCAAGAGGTGAAAAATTTTACGTAAGGATTATTAATTTAGTCTATTCCTTGATTACTCTTTATGCTTATAGGGAAAATATTTGAATTTATCCACAAAGATCAAGATAGGAAGTGTTTGGGGAAAGTTTAAATTCATAGCTACAATATTACTGTTGCAGGTGAGGAGAGGAGAAAATCAAGGAATTGGACTTCTTAGAGTTTTCATATTTAACTTAATCATGGGAAGAAAGTATTATTCTAGATAATTATTTGGTGTATACGTTAATAGGACTTGGTGTTGCCGTAATGTAGAAGGCCCCAATAAGGTAAATTTATGGTGGTTTCACATTCAATACTACTGTAAAAGTACAGAATATCATTAAAATTACTGAATAGACAGCAGTTAACAAGAATTTTTCTTTTTTTTGGCGGCTGGCCAGTGTGGAGATCTGAACCCTTGACTTGGTGTTACTTAACAGAAATTTTGAAAGGGAGTCCCAAATACTGAAGATTTGAGTGGGTGGTGGCCTTTTGCAACTGTAATTAGCTCTTCATCATTTTGCTGTTTAGGTTGTTGAATAATTGTTGAAAAGAATTTTCTTGTAGTAAGTGCTTTAAAATTACTTTGCTATTTCCTATTTTATAATTGTTCTCTATTTTAATTTATAGTTTTTCTGTAGTGTTGGCATACTAACACAACAAGAAAATTTACTGCTTCATGAAGCACATCAGTTTACCTTAATTGTTATGTAGGAGGCAGCTAAAGTTTCTAAATATGATCTGAGAAAGTTAAAGGTTAAGGAGGTAAAAAACACTTATTGTATAGTATTCATGATTAAGTGTTTGTTTATGAACCAAAGGCTATTCTTTTAGTATGTTGTGAAGTATTCCATGACAGAATACAGATGAGAATGGCTAGAGATGATGTGTTGAGCTTCATTATTTGAGCATTTCTTAAAACCATTTACCTCTTTATTGACCTAATTTACAAGTAGGAAGATAATTAGTAAACTGGCTTTTTATGAGGTAATAAACATTGCTAATTCATTGAAAATATGTTAAATATTTACTTTCAGTCAATAAAAGATGTAGGTAAGTAAAACAGGCTTTTGACATCTAAAACAATTATATTGAATGGTATTTTTAAAATTTTATTTATTTATTTTTTGTGGCTGGCCCATAAGGGGATCTGAACCCTTGACCTTGGTGTTACAACACCATGCTTTAACCAAGTGTGCTAACCAGCCAGCCCTGATTTTTTTAAAATCCTCAAAATTACAGAACACTTGTTAAAGAACTGAAAATTTTACAATTGTAAGCAGATAGCTGATCTCTCAATGAGAATTTTTGTGAATGCTGGAAATCTTTATGGCAAGTAATGGCTAATTTCAAATTGTGGTTATGGTTAATATAAAAAGCGAAAAGATTTATTTTTCTTGGGGAAGATAACTGGTTTATGATCTTTTCATAGCTGATTGATTAAAATCCTTTTATATGGAATGTTTTATGTTGTACCCTTTTGAATGTTGTAACTGGGGGCCTCGCACTTTAAATCTCGCACTCGGGGTAGAGTGGTAGAAAAAGATTTTTTAAGTTAAAACCAAAGGAAGGTATATCTGTGAGCCAGATATGTAGCATCCTGTAGAATAGACAAAGAAGATGACTTTTGGATAAAGAGTTTAAGAGATCTAAAGATGTGAAAATTTGTGTTGTGCCTTGCTGTTTCACCTTAGCATTAAATCTATACAATAATAATCTGCAGAGGTTGACATAGTGTATGCTGAATTGTGTTAGTTGCTAAATTGAAATTCATCATTTAAATACTTTTTATTATATTACTTACAGTGAAATTTGCTTTGTGGCAAATTTTAATAATTTTCTTTCAAACTTAATGATGGTTATTGAGTGTTTTCTACATGCCAGGTACTGAGCTAGATGTTTTAAGTCAATTACTTACAATTCTTGCAATTCTATTTTATAGTTGAGGAAAGTGAGGGCTTGAGAGGTTAAGTAAGGTGTTCAAGTGGCACAGCTAGTGATTGGGGAGCCAAGATTCCAATCTGCATTTTTGTGACTCCACGCTGTCATTCTGCTCTGTTTTTAGCATAACTTAGCAGAAAGCCCATAAAATGTGTGGAAAGAGCTTTCCTAAAGTTCTTTATCCAGTGTATTTCATTTTTTATTTGCTGTCAAGAGAGTGAATCTATCCTTCATTTTAAGTGCCATAACTGACATTATCTTAACATTCAATGAGATTAGTGACAGATATATTTAAATATCTAGGCTAGTTCTTGAATCAAAGTTTAGATTTTTTTTTGGTTAAGTCTCTCTTTGTCATACTGTTAGTAGCTCCATTACAAGGATGTAGGGAGAAAATTTTATCTTATTTGAGTGTATTAAAAAACCTAACAGCTAAGAGAAAAGTCAAAGTGGTAACATTAATTGACATTCAGATGCTATTTTATGGTTTAAACAGTGCCTGGAGATGTTAAATGCACATAAATTAGAAACTGATATGTTCCAGTTTGGTTTCATTGTTATTTTTCATTATATCTCACTAGGTTATGGTATTTCTTTGCCTTCTTGCTTCATTTTATCAATTTAATTTATCCAAAATAACAAAAATCATAAAATGTGCCATGGCAGAAAGAACATACTACATTGGGAATTAAGGGACAGTGGGTATTAGTTAATCTTGATATTTGCTACCAACTAACTGTAACTTTGGTAATTTCTTTTCTCTTCTCTAGCTTGGCCATTTTCCCTCCTCTGCAAAACAAGGAAGGTAGAATCAGTCATTGAAGTACCTTTTGTTCCAGAATCCTATGAATATATGATTTTTGAATAAAAGCAGAGGACTTTTCCCTTGGCCATTTCTTCTGAAACAGCCACACCAATATTTTGTTTAAGTTTGTAGACTCGGTCTCACAATACTGTTAAGGCTGCAGTAAAACCTTTTTATCCTCTAACCTAAAGAACATTTTGCATAGTGAATAACCATGTTTTCCAGATTGGTGCCTGTGGAAA